AGATTTGTGATGCGACTGGCTGACCTGCATTATCATCCAGGCAGAGCGCCTCTTCAACCCCTGTTCTTGGTAGGACACAGCCGTGGACAGCTAGCAACAAACCTCCCCAACCACCCTCATTGGTCTCATCTCTGGTGGGGATGAGTATGCCTACAGGTGGGAGATTGACCATCTGGTGACCTGGTGCTTCCAGAACACGGTCGTGGATTTCAGAAAGAGCACAGCCCCACCCTCCCCCGTTGCAACTGTGGACTCCTTCCGCGTCCTGGGCACCATCATCTCCCAGGACCTCAAGTGGGAGCTGAACATCACCTCCCTCACCAAGAAGGCCCAGCAGAGGATGTACTTCCTGCGGCAGCTGAAGAAGTTCAGCCTGCCAAAGACAAGGATGGTGCACTTCTACACCGCCATCATTGAGTTCATCCTCACCTCCTCCATCACCATCTGGTACGCTGCTGCCACTGCCAGGGACAAGGGAAGGCTGCAGCGCATCATTCGCTCTGCAGAGAAGGTGATTGGCTGCAATCTTCCTTCTCTTCAGGACCTGTACGCCTCCAGGACTCTGAGGCGAGCAGGAAAGATTGCAGCTGACTCCTCCCACCCCGGACACAAACTGTTTCAGACTCTCCCCTCTGGCAGGAGGCTGCGGTCCATCAGGACCAAAACCTCTCAACACAAAAACAGTTTCTAACCGTCTGCTGCTAGCCTCATCAACAAGGCCCGGGCCCCCCCACTGACACTCCTCTCCCCTTCAAATAATACAATCGTCTTCGCACATGTAAATATCACTTCATGTCATATCATGCACGAACCTGGCACATTGAACATATTTGTTGTTAATTTGTTGTAATAAAAAAAGTAAATTGTTGTTGATCCATTGTTATTTTTATTGTATTATTTTTCTCTATTCTTCTGTTATTCTTATATAACTTGCATTTGTTTATTACACATTTATATATTTCTACATCTATTTATGTTAGCTGTATGTCTGTCTGTGTGTAGCACCTTAACACCAAAGCAAATTCCTTGTATGTGTAAAACACTACTTGGCAATAAAGCTCCTTCTGATTCTGAAAGAGAGACGTCTGTTGTATGGACAAGTCACACAACACTGTTCCAGCAGTTCCAGTCATGATTTGTGTCAGGTAACGTTTAATGACATTCCCATAAACATTCAGCTTACTTTCTAGTTCACCAAGACATGCTGTTGTTGTGATGTTAGCTAGTAGCAGAAGAGTTATGACTATTTCAGACTGGAGCTGCTGTGCTGCTCTGGGACCATCTTGTCCTCTCATGTTAGCTTTCCAGCAGCAAGTAGCCACAGTTTGCTAACCCACAACCTAGCTAACATTAACATTAATTGCTGTGTTGTTGTTCACTATAATTCATGGTACTGGATTTCTCCAGAATCTAAATAATAATATTTGATAGCAGTTCACATACAAACTCCTGAGTCAGCTAACTCCTTTAATACAAGATCATAAAAAAGACTCAAAATATTGAACTCTACAAACAGCTGAATCCTGACCTGAGAGTTTCCAGTCTGCAGTGTGGACTCTTCAGTCCAGCAGACAGCAGATTCACTCCTGCATCCTGCAGGTCGTTGTTACTCAGGTCCAGCTCTCTCAGACTACAAGACTGGGAGCTGAGAAGCGAAGATAAAGCTTCACAGCTTCTCTCTGACAGTTTACAGCCACTCAACCTAAAAATGATTTTCAGTCAGTTAATTCACATGTCAAATATATTTAGAAAAACTGGTTAAGAACTTTTAACAAAAAACTAAATTATGACCTAAGAAATTCCAGCGTTGAGAATGAACTCTCCAGTTCAGCAGTCAACAGCTTCACTCCTGAATTTTGCAGATCATTGTGACTCAGGTCCAGCTCTCTCAGACTAGAAGATTTGGAGCGGAGAACTGAAGACAGAGCTTACAGCTTCTCTCTGACAGTTTACAGCCACTCAGCCTGAAGATTTTAGACAGTACATTAAATAATGAAAATATCTCAAAAGTAACAGGGTCATCATTTTCAAAAAGCAAAACACTAACCTGAGAATTGCCAGTCTTTGTAGTCCAGAAGACAACATCTTCACTCCTGAATCCTGCAGTTTGTTGTTACTCAGGTCCAGCTCTCTCAGACTAGAGGACTGGGAGCTGAGAACTGAAGACAGAGCTTCACAGCTTTTCTCTGACAGTTTACAGCCAATCAGCCTAAAGTTAAATTCCAGTCAATTAAATCACAGGTCAGATATAAAAAGCAGAAAAATGTTTGCTAAGAAAATTGTAACAAATAGCTGAATCTTAACCTGAGAGTTTCTAATGTACAGTATGGGCTCTCCAGGCAAGACGACAAAAGCTTCATTCCTGAGTCTTGCAGGCTGTTGTTACTCAGGTCCAGCTCTCTCAGACTAGAGGACTGGGACATCAGAACTGAAGACAGAGCTTCACAGCTTTTTTCTGAAAGTTTACAGCCAGTTAACCTGAAGAAGAATGTCAGTCAATAAATTCACATTTCACAAACAAAAATAACAATATGTTTAAGAGAAATTTTAAACAATGCTGAATTCTGACCTAAGACCTTTCAATATACATTGTTGGCTCTCCAGTCCAACAAACAGCAGCTTCAGTCCTGAATCCTGCAGGTGTTGTTACTCAGGTCCAGCTCTCTCAGACTACAGGACTGGGAGCTGAGAACGGAGGACAGAGCTTCACAGCTTCTCTCTGAGAGGTAACACCCAATCAGCCTGAAGAGAAATTTGAGCAGTCAATCACAGATCAAATATAATAAATGAACTGAATAAAAGACTTCTGGGCAAACATTTACAACTAGTTATGTCATGACCTGAGAGTATCCAGTCTGCAGTGTGGACTCTCCAGTCCAGCAGAGAGCAGATTCACTCCTGAATCTTGCAGGTTGTTGTTACTCAGATCCAGCTCTCTCAGACTAGAAGACTGTGAGTTGAGAACTGAGGACAGAACTTCACAGCTTCTCTCTGAGAGGTTACAGCCATTCAACCTATAAAATATTTTCAGTCAGTCCATTCATTAATTACTAGGCTATATAAAGAAAAAAGGAGCCCAGAAGGTCATCGTTTCAAACAGTTAAATACCTGAAAGTTTCCAGTCTGCAGTGTGGACTCTTCAGTCCAGCAGAAAGCAGCTTCACTCCTGCATCCTGCAGGTTGTTGTTACTCAGGTCCAGCTCTCTCAGACTAGAAGACTGTGAGTTGAGAACTGAGGACAGAGCTTCACAGCTTCTCTCTGAGAGGTTACAGCCACTCAGCCTGAAAAGGATTCAGCAATACAAAATCAAACAATTTCAAAAAGTACATTTAGTTTTATTCAATGAAAAAAGACATTTATCTGGGTAGTTAGATGTACAGTATGCACGTACAGAGCTTTGTTGGAGTCTTGGACAACTGGCAGGAGCCTGAGAAGGGCCTCCTCTGAAGCAGAATATTTGTTAGGTCAAACACGTCCAGATGTTTTTCTGATGACAGTAAGATGAAGACCAGAGCTGACCACTGAGCAGGAGAGAGTTTAGCTGTGGAGAGACTTCCCGAACTCAATGACTGTTGAATCTCCTCCACTAGAGACGTCATTCAGTTCATTCAGACAGTGGAACAGATTGATGCTTCTCTCTACAGAGAAATTCTCACTGATCTTTTTCTTAATGTACTCGGATGTTTTCTTTTTTGTCTGTGAACTACTTCCTGTTTGTGTCAGCAGACCTCTTAGTAGAGTCTGATTGGCCTCCAGTGAAAGACCCAGGAGGAAGCGGAGGAACAAGTCCAGGTGTCCATTTGGACTCTGTAAGGCCTTGTCCATAGCACTCTCATAGAAATGTGTTGATTTGCTTCCAAACACTTCAGGCCACCAGGATGTAGTTTGTTCTTCTGCCAGCAGATTGACACCAGAGTTGATGAAGGTCAGATGGGCATGTAGAGCAGCCAGAAACTCCTGAACGCTCAGATGGACAAAGCAGAACACCTTGTCCTGGTACAGCCCTCTCTCCTCTTTAAAGATCTGTGTGAACACTCCTGAGTACACTGAGGCTGCTGTGATATCTATGCCACACTCTGTCAGGTCTGATTCATAGAAGATCAGGTTGCCTTTCTGCAGCTGCTCAAAAGCCAGTTTTCCCAGAGACTCAATCATCTTCCTGCTCTCTGGAGTCCAGTGTGGATCCGTCTCAGCTCCTCCATCATACTTGACTTTCTTCAGTTTGGTCTGAACCACCAGGAAGGATGTACATCTCAGTCAGGGTCTTGGGCAGCTCTCCTCCCTCTCTGGTCTCCAAGACCTCCTCCAGAACTGTAGCAGTGATCCAGCAGAAGACTGGGATGTGGCACATGATGTGGAGGCTTCGTGATGTCTTGATGTGGGAGATGATGCTGGCCTGCTCCTCATCTCTGAATCTCTTCCTGAAGTACCTCCTTCTGTGGGTCAGTGAAACCTCTGACCTCTGTCATCATGTCAACACACTCAGGAGGGATCTGATTGGCTGCTGCAGGCCGTGTGGTTATCCAGAGGCGAGCAGAGGGAAGCAGGTTCCCCCTGATGAGGTTTGTCAGCAGCACATCCACTGAGGTGGACTCTGTAACATCAGTCAGGACCTCATTGTTGTGGAAGTCCAGAGGAAGTCGACACTCATCCAGACCGTCCAAGATGAACACAACCTGGAACTCTTCAAACCTGCAGATTCCTCCTGTTTCAGGAAAGAAGTGATGAACAAGTTCTACCAAGCTGCACTTTTCTCTTTCAGCACATTCAGCTCTCTGAAAGTGAATGGAAATATGAACTGTATGTCCTGGTTGGCTTTGTCTTCAGCCCAGTCCAGAGTGAACTTCTGTGTTAAGACTGTTTTCCCAATGCCAGCCACTCCCTTTGTCATCACTGTTCTGATCGGTTCATCTCTTCCAGGTAAGGGTTTAAAGATGTCTTCTTGTCTGATGGTTGTTTCTGGTCTGTGGTTTCCTGGATGCTGTTTCAATCTGTCTGACCTCATGTTCATCATTGACCTCTGCAGTCCCTCCCTCTGTGATGTAGAGCTCTGTGTAGATCTGGTTCAGAAGGGTTGGGTTTCCTGCTTTAGCAATCCCCTCAAATACACACTGGAACTTCTTCTTTAGGGTAGACTTGAGTTTACGTTGGCACACTGTAGCATGAGTTCCTGCATAAGCAAACAACAAATAAAATCAGTGAGTGGATCCTACAGAAAATCTGACAATTTGCAGGTGTGGCTCTAGTCATCACTTGAGGACAAACTGCCTCTGTTTTGATGCAGACCTGTGTAGCATATTAACCACAATTTCTTTGGAAAGAGGAAACAGTGTCAACATGGTATAAATTCATCATGTTGCTTCCATTTCCTCTTTTCATCATTAAAATCCTCTTACCGCTCTGCAGACAGTTAGCCAGCTCCTCCTGCTTCATTCTCCTTAGGAAGTCCAGTGTGATCTTCAGAAAGGCCTCTCTGCTGCTCCTCCTCTGGTCTTCATTCTCACTGCCCAAACCTCCTCATCCTCACTCTGACTCTCTAAGCAATCTGCGTAATCTAGACTCAGAACCCTCTGGACTCTTTTCAGCTCATTCTTCACAAAAGTGATAATATTCTCCTCCAGCAGCTGGAATAGAAAGATAAACTGCATCAAAGTGTTCATTGTGGACCAATAAAGCCATATTGATATAATATAATTTGTAAAACTGTCAAATAAATGTATCGGATACTTTGTTACATTTTTGTAAATATTTGATTATATCTTTTCATGTGACAATAAAGAAATTACACTTTGCTACAGTGTAAAGTAGTGAGTGTACAGTTTGTATGACAGTGTAAATTTGCTGTCCCCTCAAATAACACATCACACAGCCATTAATCATTAGTCTAATCTGCTGGCAACAAAAGTGATAAAACTCATAATGGCCACCATTATTTTGCAGCACTGCTTTAACCCTCTCGCATGGAGTTCACCAGAGCTTCACAGATTGCCACTGGAGTGATGACAACAGGAGCAAACAGAATGGAGGTGGCAGTATTTAAATGAGGGTTTTGCGTGTTTTAATGCTTTCCGCCATGGAGAGTCGGGAGGGAAAGCAGCCACTGCGTGAAAACCTTGGCTTGTTTTATTCAGTGCGTCCCGAGTATGTGGAAATCGTATGTCTGCCCATCCTGCCTGAGATTGCACTAAGTACTTGGGACAGCACACCTGAAAAACTGCTTTGGCAAACCCCAGCAGAAACAGTATGTTGGAATGACCCAGACGTAAGGAAATGCCAGCAGATCGTGCTTCATCCAGCCAGAGGGAACGACCACCGACCATCCGCAGAGGGCCGGTCGCTCTGCGATCTCCTGTTCCTGGCCCTGTACGCCCTAGTGCCCAATTCCCTTCTGATACCTATAATGGGTTGTGTCGCTATTGGTGATATTAAGTTTGCACACGTTTTTACTCACGCAGACCTTTAGTAAATCTGGTCAACAACACCGTAGAATTGTTCATCACCTTCAGGAAACACCCACCACTGCATTCACATTACTCCTCAACGGTGCAGCAGTAAACGTGGAGGAGCATGTTAAGTTTTTGGGTACTGCCATTACCAGCG